ACAGCTTCCCCCCAGACCGCCTCTCCAGACGGATAAAATCTTGCAGCTCACAGGAACACTTGAACGGGTTGTGCCCAGCTTGTAGCTCCCTGACCCTTGGGCAGCTCTGGAAGAAGTCAGCAGATGGGGTGAGGATTGAATTCATCTCTATGTTCAGGAACTCCAGAGACATAAAACCACTGCACCCCGGCAGGTCAGCCAGCCTGTTCGACGCCAGGTTCAGCTCTGTCAAGGATTTCAGCTCAGCCATCCCCTTGGGGACACTAGTGATCTGATTGTTTTGTAGGTTGAGTTTTTGGGTGTTGGCTGGCAAGCACTCAAACACGGCATCCGTCAACTGATTTGAGGACAGGTCCAGCTCTGTCAGAGACTCAGCCCATTGGCATTGCACATCAGCTCCATCGTGATGCAGCAAGTTGCTGCTCATGTCCAGGTATTTCAGTGATTTCATACGGCTGGTCATGAAGCTTACTTTAGAAAGGCTTTCAAATTTATTCCTCTGCAATATTAATGTCTCCAGTTGAATTAATTTGTCACATTTTTGAAAAAGAAGATCTGTTAAATCGTTCTTTAAAAAGTTTAAATATATAAAGGAACTGTTTGCCGAAGGACACAGCATATGTATCATCTCTGATTCAGCTATTGTCAAGGCTGCAATATTCATGTCTGCAAATATTTTGTATAAGTCATCCTGCGAGAAGTACAGATCTGTGATTAAAACTTTCTTCATTGTCAGTGCTTTCATAGAAGTACCTGAATAGTTAAAATCATAGCCTTTGATGACCGACAATTGTGTTACACTGTTAATATTGAAGTATTCAATGGATGAGTGCCATACAGTCTGAAAAATTTCCATAAGAGCATTCCAGTCCACTGACACATTTGTAAGTGTCAGATTTTGTAACCTGGAGCCTGGTCTGAAATTAGACAACAAAGATACTAATTTTTTCACATTGCCATTTGTGATTTCTGACAATGACAGGCTTTCTGTAGTATTTTGTATCACAATCCAATCAAAATTAGCTTTGGACCGATACCTATTGGTATATGGGAGTGTCAGGCTGTTGATTTTTTTGTCAGAACCATCTTCTGGAAAATCATTAGAAACAGATGTAAAGAGTTCATTTTCCACAGATGGGCTGACATGGTTCCAAAAAGTTAATGCAAACAGACACTTGTAAAGAAAAAAGTTTCTGAGAGATTTCATATTTTCTGTCATACTGGTTTCTGGTTCCTTGGAGATGCTCAATAGTTTTCTTATCTGCCCATCTTTGTTCTAATTCTGTAGTAAAACAAACAAACAAAAAACAGATTGTATCATTAAGTGGCTATTCAGGAGCCATTGTAGAGATTGATTCTTTAAGGTTCCAATTTCTCTTCTTTCCCTTTGACTCAAAAAGCAATGAAGACACCTGTTATCATTCAGGAGAGGCATCCTTTGTTAAGAGAACACCACTGAAATTTCTATTTGGTAAATATGCTGTGTTTAATATATAATGAGTCTGTTTCTTACAAAACATGTCTGATTTCATAGGTGACTAAAATCTTCTGCTTACTTACAGAATTACTGCTGTGATTGAATATACTACGAAGGCTTCCCACAAGTCTATAATGCACTTTGATCAGAAAGTACAATATTTGAGGTCAGTATGGTCATCCTCTCCTCAGATTCTCTCTTGAAGGATACGAATTAGACTCAGAGACTTTTTTTTTTAATGGACTTGTGACTATAAAACCTGGAGTGAAACACAGGATGGAGGTTCAAGAGAATTAATCAAAATCTGTATGTCTTTAGGTAGCTGAGATTGGTCATCAGTGCTTACTTTAACTGGGGAGGCCAAGGCAGGGGGTAGGATGTTCCATATTTACACTATGGGAAAGTCCACAAAAGAGTTCACTTCTTGTCTGGGTTTGAGTATCTCCTGAATTTAGACTCTGAAAGTGGGGTGCCCCCATGTCTGATTTGTTAGGTGTACACAGGGGACACCAAACACACACTGAAAATATTTGCATGCTACACAAAAAAACAGTTGTAGGACCTCTGAAGGAAGGACACTAACCTCAAATGTCTCTGTTGTGAAAGAGAGGCTTACTTAAACACAATTCAGAGAAAAATCATAACTGTGGCTTTGCTTTGATTTTCCCTAATAGAGGACACTTTTCCGTTTGGAATGTACGAGTTTAGGGTAACCAGCCTCCCTCTGCTTAAGCCAGCCATTGTGAATACCACCTTCAGTCTCCTTTTAGGTATCACCGTAAATCCATTAGATCACCCTTAGATCACCCTTCTGTTTTGCCAGTCGATGGGGATAGCACAGAGGACACAGGCACCAAAAAAGAGTAAACTTATTTTTACTTATGTCCAAAGTGACAAAGTAATAAAAATAGTACAGAGAAAATAAAGCAAGTGTCCTGGGTCCAGCTGGGATAGG